TTTTTTGAGGCAGTGTCTCGCTCTGATGCCCAGGCTGGGGTGCAGTGGGACGATCTCGGCTCACTGCAACCACCGCCTCTGGGTTCAAGAGATTCTCCTGCCTCAGCCTCCCAAGTAGCTGGGATTACAGGCATGTGCCACCATACCCAGCTACTTTTTGTATTTTTAGTAGAGATGAGGTTTCACCATGTTGGCCAGGCTGGTCTCCAACTCAGATCAGCCTCAGGTGATCTGCCCGCCTTGGCTTCCCAAAGCGCTGAGATTACAGGGTGAGCCACTGCCCGGCCAAAATAATCTATTTACAATCTTTCTAAGAGGACAGCAGTTGTCCACGTGTGATCAAATTACAATCCTGGTCACAGATCTGAAGGACAAGGTTAAAGATTCTTAACAAGTTTTAAAGAGCTATGATGACAGCTCAGGCTACCTGAAGCTGGCCTTACAAGTCATGGTACAAATTACACAATGAAAATGAAAAACCACATTTTCATTATTCAGTCAACATTAAACTTAGCAACTAGACTTATCCAAGACTTATAAATAGGATTCTTGTAAAGCTTTGCATTCCAGAAATCATTTGAAATCAGTCTTAGAAAATTCTGCTAGAGGTGGTGGTAACAAAGTAGGTCTTTCCAGAAAAGAAACAGTAAAATTTTTCCCCTAACAATTTTTTTCTTTTTTTTTAAAGAGTCAGAGTTTCAACTTTGTTGCCCATGCTGGAGTGCAGTGGTGTGATCATGTCTCACTGAAACCCTGAACTCCAGGGTTCAAGCAATCCTTCCACCTCAGACTCCCAAGTAGTTGGGATTACAGGTCTGAGAAACACAAAAAGATCTATTATCTTTTATTTTTTTCTTTTATTTTGAGACGGAGTCTTGGTCTGTTGCCCAGGCTGGAGTGCAGTGGTGCAATCTTGGCTCACTGCAACCTCTGCCTCCCAGGTTCAAGAGATTCTCCTGCCTCAGCCTCCCGAGTAGCTGGGATTACAGGTGCACACCACTGCACACAGCTAACTTTTATGTTTTTAGTAGAGACGAGGTTTCATCATTCTTGGCCAGGCTGGTCTCAAACTCTTGACCTCCTGATCTGCCTGCCTCAGCCTCCAAGAGAACTGGGATTACATGGGTGGCCCACTGCATCCGGCCAGGGATCTATTACCTTAAAGTCCAAGTGTCTCCATTCTCCTGCCAGGTACTGAAGAAAATTACATGCATGCTAGGTATCTATCCTAGAAATAAGCACTAATTGCAAAGTCTTTTTTCCCCCATTTTTCTCCCTTAGTTTAATGTTTACTCTTCTTAAACGGCATTTCTAAGAAACTGCTGCAAAACTTACTAGATCTCAGCATGGGTTATTATTATTTTTGAGACAGTCTCACACTGTCACCTGGGCTGGAGTGCAGTTATCTTGGCTCACTGCAACGTCTGCCTCCCAGGTTCCAGTGATTCTCCTTCTTCAGCCTTCCAGGCAGCTGAGATTACAGGCGCCTGCCACCGTGCCCGGCTAATTTTTGTATTTTTATTAGAGACCGAGTTTTGCCATGTCAGTCAGGCTGGTCTTGAACTCCTGACCTCAGGCGATCTGCCCGCCTGGGCTTCCCAAAGAGATGGGATTACAGGTGTGAGCCACCATGACTGGCTAATCTTTTTCGTTTTTCAGCAGAGACAGTCTTACTCTGTTGTCCAGGCTGGTTTTAAACTCCTGGGCTCAAGTGATCCACTGGCCTCGGCTTCCCAAACTTCTGGGATTACAGGTATGAGCCACCAAAGGTGCACCCAGCTGACAGTACTTCTTTAGAGGAGGTATGATGATGTGGTGAGTGGATCACAGATGCAGGATCTAGTCTGTCTGGGCCCAAATCTCAGCTCTGTTACTTACCAGCTGGGTGAGGGCAAATAATCTAACATTTCCATGCCTTGGATTTTCCATCTGTAAAAGGAAGGATAGTAACAGTAGCTATCTCCAAGGCTTATTCTGAGAATAAATGAGTTAAGGTACAAAAGTTTCAGGCAGGCAGGACACGGTGGCTTACACCTGTAATCCTAGCACTTTGGGAGGCCAAGTTGGGCAGATCACCTGAGGTCAGAAGTTCGAGACCAGCCTGGCTAACATGGTGAAACCTTGTCTCTACCAAAAATACAAAAATTAGCTGGGTGTGGTGGCGTGCACCTGTAATCCCAGCTACTCAGAAGGCTGAGGCAGGAGAATTGCTTGAACCCGGGGGGCAGAGGCTGCAGTGAGCCGAGACTATGCCACTGCACTCCAGCCTGGGCAAGAGTGAGACTGCCTTAAAGAAAAAAAAACAAAGTCTCAGGAAGAGTGCCTGGCACAGCAAGGGCCCACCTGTGCAGCAGTCAAGACTGCGACCAGGAATGCTCTGAGATCTGTAGATCAAGAGGACAGTGGCCCAAACCTGAGAGGTTCAAGAAAGAGAGGCTGGACCCAGTTCATGCTGGACTTGATATGCTGTGCAAAAAGATGACTCAGGAAACAAGAGCTTAGAGAGCCCAAAGTGACAGGGTGCATTACCTTGGTCATTCTCAGGCTCGTGGGTTTCACTGTTCTCCGGTGCCCTCCCAGGGTTGCCCAGGGCAGGCTTTGGGGCTGATACACTGACCGACACTGAGTGGGCTACCTGCGGAAAAGGGCCGGGTAAATGCGGGGGTGCAGGCTGGTGGGGGTGGTAAGGCACACCTGGCGGGCAGACGCGGGAAGAGAGCTGCTGCATGGCGATCATCTCTGGGCTGTCCATCATGGAGTCCCCTCCCTGCACCCCCCGCAGAGCCTGGGTGGCCGCTCCAAACAGAGAACTGGGTGCTGGCACTGGAGGTGGCTGTAGCCGATGTCCAGCAGACTTGCAGGGTGGCTGCATGTACCCTGAGGAAGGAACTCCATGAGGTAGGAAGCCTGATTGTTCAGTCCACTGGTTGACGGGGACAGGCGGTCTCATGACTCGGGAATCCATCATGTGACCGAGACTGCGAGGCTGGTGAGAAGGCCCAGGCCCCAGGTGGGGCTTCTCCTCTGGGCCCAAGGGTCCTGGGTTTGTAGCACCGTGGTTCCCATTCCAGACGGCAGAGTGTACTCGATTCAGGTACTTGTATGATCGATACATGTGGCTGGGAGGAATTTCTGAGCTTTCAGGAAAGTCTGGCGGCTGGGCTGGAGCCCCCCCATGCCTGGGAGGAATGAATCCTGGCTGGAGCTGAGCTGGAACATACATGCTTCCATCCTGACTCGGGCCACTCATCTGGCCGAGCTGCAAGGATCCAGGCTGTGGGCCCATGCTAGAAAGGTGCGTCAGCCCCCCACACATTTGCTTGTCTTCGGGTGTGCCCAGCCTGGGTCCTCGGTGGCTGTTAATTCCCACTGGAGGCTGGCAACAAAAAGGCAGCACAGTTAACCAGACTCACAGAGTAAGGCAGGCTTTGGGACGTACTTCTCTATGGGAACAGACTCTTCAGGGAAGTAGACAATGAGCGACACTTAGCCTGGAAAGAGACTTTTTCTCTGAAATGTAGCTGTGGGACCCCCTGTGCCTGCGCCTGCTGAGTAGGGTGCTCACCTGCATGGGGAAAGGCTGGCGCTGCTGCACAGGCTCCCCGGGGTGCGACTCCGGGACTCCAGAGGAACCGTACAAGGCGGCAGCATCTGATCCTCGCAGGGGCCCAAATGTCCCCGGCACCGCTGGCCTCTGCAGCATGTGGAGCACAGCAAGGAGGGGGAAAAGGAAAGACGCAGACTTGAGGTTGACAACGACTAGACCTTGGATGGAGATGCGGAGGCTGAACATGTGCTCACCCTCACCAGTGCTCGCCTGTGAGCCCGAAGCAACCTCCCGCTCCAGGAGACAGAAGATTAAATCAGCGTTTCTCAATCTCTTTTATATTCCTCCTCCACCCAAGGATCCATATTAGCCATTTCTCCCCAGCTGCCTGCTACCATGACATCTTGATGCTTGCAGGTATACTGTATGTTTATGTACTGTATCTGTGCTTTATACAAAAGACACTTTTTTTTTTTTTTTGAGATGGAGTTTTGCTCTTGTTACCCAGGCTGGAGTGCAATGGCGCGATCTCGGCTCACCGCAACCTCCGCCTCCTGGGTTCAGGCAATTCTCCTGCCTCAGCCTCCTGAGTAGCTGGGATTACAGGCACGCGCCACCATGCCCAGCTGATATTTTGTATTTTTAGTAGAGACAGGGTTTCACCATGTTGACCAGGATGGTCTCGATCTCTTGACCTCATGATCCACCCACCTCGGCCTCCCAAAGTGCTGGGATTACAGGCGTGAGCCACCGCGCCCGGCTTTTTTTTTTTTTTTAAAGACGAGGTTTCACCATGTTGGTCAGGCTGGTCTTGAACTCCTGGCCTCAAGAGATCCACCTGCCTCGGCCTTCCAAGTGCTGGGATTACAGGCGTGAGCCACCACGCCCGGCTAGATTACTTTTTTTTGAGACAGTCTTGCTCTATCACCTAGGCTGGAGTACAGTGGCATGATCTCCGCTCACTGCAACCTCTGCCTCCTAGGTTCAAGCAATCCTCCTGCCTCAGCCTCCTGGGTAGCTGGTGCCTCCAGGCTTGCACCACCACGTCTGGCTGATTTTTGTATTTTTAGTAGAGACGGGGTTTCATCATGTTAGCCAGGCTGGTCTTGAACTCCTGACCTCATGATCCACCCATCTCGGCCTCCCAAAGTGCTGAGATTACAGGCGTGAGCCACCATGCCTGGCCAGATGATGTATTTTTAAATCCCATTTTTGTGCCCACATTGAGAATACGTATTTCGAATGACTGAGAAAAAGGAGGGTTTAGAGTAAAGCAGGGGCCGGGCACAGTGGCTCATGCTGATAGTCCCAGCACTTTGGGAGGCTGAGGCAGAAGGATTGCTTGAGGTCAGGAGTCTGAGGCCAGCCTAGACAACATAGCAACACCTTATCTCTACTAAAATGTAAACAAAATAAAATAAAATGAAGGACTCGAGGGGGAACAGATGTCACCCATACACAGAAATACTCTGTAGAAAAAGTACTAACTGAATGGCCTTTACATCCCTAAGAACTCACAAACCAGGAGACACCGCAACGGCCTCCACCCTATTCCTTACCATCTGGTTTAAAAAGGGTGCTTGGCTGGGCGTTCCGCCACAGTGCAGGGGATGAGAAAAGCGTCGGCCATTGGAAGCGCCCACCTCCCGCGGGGGCTGCGTGGAGCTGCTGCTCTGACCGTCCCCAGAAGAGGGGGCTCGGCGTGTGGGGGGCAGAGACTTCCCTCCATTCTCCACGGGCTGCTGTTTCCTGCCAGGCCCTTCGGGATCCCTGGAGCGGGTCCAAACATGGCTCCCACCACTTCGCCCAGCCCGACTCCGTCTCTTCTCCCGCTTTTCATCCTCTCGAATCCAAAATTCTTCATCTGTGTCTCCATCTTCACCAGGAAAATGCTTCATCATTGCCCGATGGAAACAGCGTTCTAAATTATCAGACATCTTGGTATACTCTATAGGAAGACAGGAGGATTGGTTTCTAGGTATAGTTTATAGAAACTGTTGATAGAAACTGACCTATAGAGGTCACAAAAGACAATTCTATGGCCGGGCGTGGTGGGTCAGGCCTGTAATCCAAGCACTTTGGAGGCCAAGGTGGGCGGATCACCTGAGGTCGGGAGTTCAAGACCAGCCTGACCAACATGGTGAAACCCCGTCTTAAAAAAAAAAAAAAAAAAAAAACAAAAAAACAAAAAACAAACAAACAAACAAAAAACAACAATTCTACTAATATGTAAAAGATGCAACCTGAGTAAACTATGAGTTGAATTCGCCTTTAGGGCATGTTACATTGCAGAGCTATGGATGCAACATGAAGACGATGTGGTTCCTCTCTGCGAGATGCCCGAGGTGGCATGCTTGGGACAGGGGCTGGAGGACTATTAAACCAAGTCAGGCTGAGCACGGTAACTCACACCTGTAATCCCAGCACTTGGGGAAGCCAAGGCAGGAGGGTCACTTGAGCCCAGGAGTTCCAAGACCAGACTGGGCAATGAAGCGAGACCCGTCCCTACCAAAAACACATTAGCCAGGTGTGGTGGCACATTCCCACAGTCCCAGCTACTATGGGACCAAGGGAGGAGGATCCCTTGACTCCAAGAATTCGAGGTTGCAGTGAGCCATGTCTGTGCTACTGCACTCCAGCCTGGGTGACAGAGTGAGATCCCATCTCAAAATAGCTAAAAAAAGACAAGACAAAACAAAAAAGCCAGTACAAATTTAATTCTTCAAGGCTAAACGTCAGAAATACAAAGTAAAAAAATTGTGGAATCTGCTGTTTTTAAGTAGGGCATTTTGAGTTAATGCATAAATGACCCAAAGTAAAAAGAACCATTTCTACTTTAATATTAGAGATCTACTTCAGTCGCTTCTCCAGAAGACGGAAGAATCAGCTCTGTCTAGGGGCAGTCCCATCAGTGGTTAAAGAGGCACACACAGTATTATCCAGACCCAGCCTGGTGTCTAGGATGAACCAGTTAGCTGCCAGCTGCATTCTCTTGTCCTGTGGAGCAGGAGAGAGTCTCTGGCAAACACCGTGTAAGTGGGCCAGGCGCGGTGGCTCACACTTGTAATCCCGACACTTTGGGAGGCCGAGGTGGGCGTATCACCTGAGGTCAAGAGTTCGAGACCAGCCTGGCCAACATGTTAAAACCCCATCTCTACTAAAAACACAAAAATTAGCCAGGCATGGTGGTGGGTGCCTGTAAACCCAGCTGTTCGTGAGGCTGAGGCTGAGGCAGGAGAATCGCTGGAACCCAGGAGGCAGAGGCTGCAGTGAGCCAAGACTACGCCACTGCACTCCAGCCTGGGTGATAGAGCAAGACTCCGTCTCAAAAACAAACAAGCAAAACCAAACTAAACCTGTGTAAGTGGCTGGGATGGTTAATCTCATGGCTTTTCATACACATTCTGTGCACTGTCCTAAAGAAAAGTCACTAGGATGCGTATTTCTAAAGGAGAAAGCATTTCATTCTTGATTACAGCGGTCAGCAGATACGGATCCAGCGCAAACTCCTTCCCCGCTTACCACTGCTTTCCCCATTATACTTTCGACAATTCCTGAATATGGTCTTCATGTCATTTACAAACTCCTCCTTGGTACAGTATAAACCTCCATTCAGTTTTTTCTCCATGCTGGAAATATCCATGGGGGCCTAAATGAGACACATAACTCTTTATAGTTAAAATATTCCGAAAGCAAAACATTTCATACAGAGAGACAGAAAGAGAGTGAGACAGAGAATGAGAATTCAGTAATGCTGGTCTGTAATGAGTAACAGATAAAATGAGAAACATCACATCAACTTTCGACAGTTGAAAAAATGTAATAAAAAAAATGTGTACACACACACACACAAAACAAAACAAAACAAAACAAAACAAAACAAAACAAAACAAAACAAAACAAGAAACAAATGACAAAACCCAAGAAAGATATACACACTAAGCATTATTGCAAAGACTGCTTCTACCTTAATAATCTGATAATAGTTAGGAGCATAAGATTCATCCACAGGTTCCAAAAAGGGCCAGGAATCCTTGTGAGCCTTTACCACGTCTAGAACTGAGAGCCAGAGAGGAGATCTTGATTAACACACTCACAGACGAAAACTTTCATCAGAAACGGAACAGTGGAGAATGGGAACTAACCTTTATACATAGCAGTGAAATCATCGTCCAACTCAAAGCTGCAAATCATAAAATAAGACATTAATAGTAACTCTGACCACCTTCTCTCCTGCGCTCTCAGGTCTATAGCAGACACAGCTGAAATAAGAGATGGAATAGTCCTAACAGTGTGGTTTAGATGAACCTGTGACACTGGTAACACTCCCTGGAAATACAATTAGGGACAGTGGACCTTAACCGGGAATGTCACTTTTCTCCTCTAGAAAATGTGGGGTTGGCCTGGATGATCCAGAACTTTACGGTTCCAGAATGTTAGTTATTCAACTGCACATTCGTTTCCATTTTATTTAATTATTTTGAGGCAGGATCTCGCTCTGTTGCCTTGGCTGGAGTGAAGTGGCGTCATGACAGCTCACTGCAGCCTTGATTTCCTGGGTACCAGTGATCCTCTCCCCTCAGCCTCCTGAATAGCTGGGACAACAGGTGTGTGCCATCATGCCTGGCAAAGTTTTGCATTTTTGGTAGAGGTGAGGTTTCGCTATGTTGTCCAGGCTTTATAGCACATTCTTAAGCAAGCTTTATTTTACTTATGAATATTTTTGTGATCTAAAGAATAATCCAAAAAAGCATATGATAAATGAGCTCATGAACACCGATTTATTTATTTATTTTTTGACATGAAGTTTTGCTCTTGTTGCCCAGGCTGGAGTGTAATGGTGCAATCTTGGCTCACTGCAACCTCCACCTCCCGGGTTCAAGCAATCCTCCTGCTTCAGCCTCCCGAGTAGTTGGGATTACAGGCAAGTGCTACCGTGCCTGGCTAATTTTGTATTTTTAGTAGAGATGGGGTTTCTCCATGTTGGCCAGGCTGGTCTTGAACTCCTGATCTCAGGTGATCCACCTGCCTTGGCCTCCCAAAGTGCTGGGATTACAGGAGTGAGCCACCGCGCCCGGTCAACACTGAATATCTGCCTCTTGAATTTTTAGGAAGGAGTAAAGATACATGTACCTAGTAACATCACAGGAAGTAATTACTTCAAAAAGAATAAACTGCTATTCACATTTCCAAAGACCTAAGTCACATCATAATCAGATTCTGATTTCATTAAATTAAGGGGATGAGGACGGAAGAGCTTAGTGTAAGTATCACTTCTGCTCCCACGGAGTGTGGCAGGAAGAGTGTCAGGGGCCAGGGCATCTGGGCATGTCTGTGTGCCTGAGGAAGGGCGCCAGGGCTAGCTGTGAGTACAGGGCCACCCTGTGAACTCCCACATGGGGACAATGTGACCCAACAGGGCTGTCGTAAGGATCAATGGGGAGTGTGCTGAGCAGGGCCTGAGTGCTTAACAAATGCTATCAGACGCCACTGCTGCTGTAATAAATACTCACAGGTCCTTCGTCTTTTTTTCCTCCCTCATGGGAGAATTGGGGTCCAGATGGGAAAGTTCTGGAGGGAGTTCCTTCCCTTGAGCCAGCAGCCATGCCCTTTCTTCCCTGAGCTTTCTCCTCTTGGCTCGGTCTACAATGAAGACAAAGGGTGAGTGAGCTGCGCTCCAGACGCTGACGTGTTCCATCACCACTGCGGGAGAAGAACTGTGAAGCGACTTCCGCTCCTTGGCCACCCTCTTCTTGGTAATTGGAATGTTTCTATGATAGAATGCTTTATGAAAAGGGGAAAATAACTGAACCTGTCTCGTCACACTGAGCTCAAGGTGGGGGAGGAAGGTGGCAGGACAGGCACAGTGTAGAGGGGAGGGGAGGGAGCAAGGCAAAAGGAAACAGAAGAATGGCAGCCGAAGAAGGACGAGAAAGTACAGGTTAAATGAGGACTACCTTCTTGGATGACTCGAGGCCATTCCCATCTTTTACTCAGAAAAAGCAACAACTGCAAATCCTTTTAGGACCCGACTCTCAGTCCAAACACACACCGGATTTTATATGCACGCCCCGGCTCCTGCCGTTCTGTGTTTATGAAGGCATCCAGGCAAGCAATGGTCTGCTCCCCACCCCACCCCACGAGCAGGCAGCAGGCCCTGCCTCCAGTGAGAGTTTGGCTGGGAACCGGGGAAGGTGGCAGCTGGGCCTGGCAAGGAGCGGGAAGGCAGGGATGATTTTTCCCCGGCTCCCAGCAGCGGCCATGAGAAGCGTCCTCGGCCGTGAGAAGCGTCCTCGGCACTCCACTCCCAGCCTCATGGGGCACTTACCACTCTCAGGGAACAAGGGGGTTGGGGCCAAAGAAAAGAGGCACCGAGAAAACCAAGACTGCCGGACAGCAAGGCACACAGATGCAGGGGAGAAGCCAGCACAGAGCCGGGGTCTCCTTCCCCCGTTCTAGCTTCCGTTCCACAAGGGACAGGATCTTCCGACAGGATCTTCGCCTGCCTGCTGCTGTGGGCAAGTCACGACCCCTGCTGAGCTCCATTTGACTTGAGCGTTGGTTCCTAAATTATTTTCATTTGTGATGCTAATCTATATCTCTTTTAATTAATGAAGTTTGCTATCACCAATATTTTTTAAAAACATTAAATTAAAAAAAAATTTGTTCTCTTTCTCTTTCAGTCTCTAAGAACCGTCTAAACTGACTTTTATTTTTTTTTTCCTGGGGGAAAAAAGAACAACTTAAACCATAAAGAAAACTGTAAATTAATGAATTCCCATGTATCCCCCAAGCTGTCAAATCTTAAACATTTTGTCTTATTAATGTTAATACCATATTTCAGGGTATAATTATTCTTCAGCTTAACAATTCATTATTCTCCTTGATTCCAATTTTAGAAGTCTGTAAACAATAGTGTCAACAGATTTATGTTTTTCTTTTTTTTTTTTTTTTTTAACAAATGTATCTTAAAACATGTCTTCTCAAGCACGCGTGTAAGGATTCTCTACGGTGTGAATCCAACAGCAGAATTACCAGATAGTAGTAAAGTATATACACACAAACTCCACCAGGCACTGTCCAATGGTGTCTAGCATTTCCAATGACGTCATAATAATAATAATAATAATAATAATTTTTTTTTTTTGAGACAGAGTTTCGCTCTTGTTACCCAGGCTGGAGTGCAATGGCGCGATCTCGGCTCACCGCACCCTCTGCCTCCTGGGTTCAGGCAATTCTCCTGCCTCAGCCTCCTGAGTACCTGGGATTACAGGCACGCGCCACCATGCCCAGCTAATGTTTTGTAGTTTTAGTAGACACGGGGTTTCACCATGTTGACCAGGATGGTCTCGATCTCTTGACCTCGTGATCCACCTGCCTCGGCCTCCCAAAGTGCTGGGATTACAGGCGTGAGACACCGCGCCCGACTATTATTATTATTTTTAAAAGAGACGGGGTCTGGCTATGTTGCCCAGGCTGGAGTGCAGTGACTATTCACAGGCGCGATCCCACTACTGATCAGCACGGGAGTTTTGACCTGCTCTGTTTCCGACCTGGGCCGGTTCACTCCTCCTTAGGCAACCTGGTGGTCCCCCGCTCCCGGGAGGTCATCATATTGATGCTGAACTTAGTGTGGACCCCCAATAGGCATAGCGCACTACAGCCCAGGACCCTTGGGCTCAAGAGATCCTCCCGCCTCAGCCTCCTGAATAGCTGGGACTACAGGCACGCGCCACCGAGCCCGGCCCCAATGAGGTTGTTTTTTTAAAAGTGCTGTCTAAAATGTTTTTTTGTTTTTTTTTTTGCAAACAGAGTCTTACTCTGTTGCCCAGGCTAAAAAAGTGGAGTGGTGTGATTTCAGCTCACTGCAACCTCCACCTCCCAGGTTCAAGAGATTTTCTTGCCTCAGCCTCCCGAGTCGCTGGGATTACGGCACTGCTACCACACCTGGCTAATTTTCGTATTTTTAGTAGAGACAGGGTTTCACCACGTTGGCCAGGGTGGTCTCCAACTCCCAACCTCCAGTGATCCGCCCACCTCAGCCTCCCAAAGTGCTGGGATTACAGGAGTAAGCCACCGCACCTGGCCTATATCTACTTTTTAGGTAGCAATCTCATTTACCTCACGTTCATTTAGTACGATAAAACATTTGCATCTTAGCCAAACTCACGAATATAACATATGCTTTGGATATTTCACGTGCATCTTCCTGACTGGAGTGATACGGAACCTATTTACCTATTTTCACATTTACTACTGCTGCACATTTCATGTTCTCTTCTGTGAATTTCCTGTTCATTTGTCTTTGTGCCTGTGGACTACTAGGGTCTTACTAATTTGGAGAATGCTTTAAAATAATCTGAGTAAGTTTTCGTTGATGTGTGTTAAAATTATGTTCTTCTACTCTGCAATTTGTCTTTTTATTTTGTTAATGGTGTTTCTGCCACATGTATGTTTCAAATAAATAACGTAATCAAATGTGTCAGGCTCTCTCTCTCCCCTTACAGTTTCTGCTTTTTGTACTTAAAAATTTTTTTTTATCCCAGTATCTTAAAGATATTCACCTATAACTTCTTTAGAAAGGTTCTGGCCTTTAGTGTGTCTGGAAATCTGGAACTTATATAAGGAGCAGGGATGTACATTTTTTACTTATAAATGAACAAGTGTACTGATACCACTGTTCCCCCCAAAGACACAGGGGTCTCGAATTGTTGGGATCACAGCTCACTGCAGCCTCGAACTCCTGTGCGTGAGGGATCCTCCCAGCTCAGAGACCTGAGTGGCTGGGACTACAGGCACACACCAGCATGCCGGGCGGGGTTTCTGAAAAACCCATGTTCTCTCTCGAGGTCTGCTTCTGGTGTCACTATCTCTAAGCCAATACCATTCTCTCTTAATCACTGCAGATTTGATCTATTCGGTATAATGACTGTCCCTACCTATTGTTTTTGTAAGTTATCACGGCTATACAAAGCCCTTTGCTCTTTTATATGAATTTTAGAAACAGTGTGTCGAGATCCATATAAATTTTTTTTTTTTTTTGGAGACAGAGTCTTACTCTGTCACCCAGGCTGGAGTACAGTGGTGTGACTTTGGCTCACTGTAGCCTCTGCCTCTTGGGTTCAAGCAATTCCCATGCCTCAACTTCCCAGATGGCTGGGATTACAGGCATATGCCTCCATGCCTGGGTAATTATTGTATTTTTAGTAGAGACAGGGTTTCACCACATTGGCTAGGCTGCTCTCAAACTCCTCAGCTCAAGTGATCTGCCCACTTCTACCTCCCAAGGTGCAGGGATTACAGGTGTAAGCCACTATGTCAGGCTACCATAATATTTTTTTGTTTTTCTTTGAGATAGAGTCTCACTCTGTTGCCCAGGCTGGAGTGCGATGGCGCAATCTTAGCTCACTGCAACCTCTGCTTCCCGGGTTCAAGCAATTCTTGTGCCTTAATCTCCCGAGTAGCTGTGATTACAGAAATGCAATACCACATCTGGCAAATTTTTGTATTTTTAGTAGAGACGGGGTTTAGCCATGTTGGCCAGGTTGGTCTTGAACTCCTGGCCTTAAGTGATCTGCCTGCCTTGGCCTCCCACAGCGCTGGGATTACAGGTGTGAGCCACCATGCCCGGCATTTTTTTTTTAAGTTGGTTTGTAGCAGGTTGTGGTGGTTCATGCACCTTGGGAGTCTGAGGTGGGAGGATCACCTAAGCCTAGAAGGTCGAGACCAGCACAAACAAAACCCACACTTTTTTTTTGTTTAAAAAAAAAAAAAAAAAAAGGTGGTTTGTTCAAATCAAATTCAAAAAGGTCTACATACTGCACTTGGCTGCTATGACTCTTAAATCTTGAATTTCTAACATGTGTCTCCTCATTTGTTCACTGAAAAAACTGGGTCATTTTGTTCCTGTTGGGTTTCCTACACCGTGGATGGAGCTGATGGCGTCCTCACTGTAGGGTACATGTGCTCCCCCATCCCTTCTATTTCCCTTAAACTGGCAGTTATAACAAGAGGCTCTGATAAAACAAACCCGATTTCTGGACAACAGTACTTCACAGACGATGCTGTGTACGTTCACTCTCATTACATCAGGAGATGTAATGTCTACTTCTCTCTGTGATGCCAAATTTGATCAGTGTGTTCAGGTGCTGTCAGCCGAATCCTCCCATTATAAAGTATCTCACTGTCTTTTACCCAATGCTTTTAGCAGCTGGAAGGTTAATCTGAGTCCTAAGACAGAACTAAGTTGCAAGGAGACTTAGCGCCCATTTTCTCACTCCTTCCAAGGATACTGTCATATCTAGCAACCTCTAACTAGTACGCACCTAGTAAAAGGTGCACAGGATAAAGGTTAATTATCATTACATACAATGAATACATTAGGACAGCAGTCTACAAACCTCAAACCACAGCATGGAGGCCGCAACCTGCTTTGATAAATGAAGTTTTATTGGAACAATGCCCTGCATAACTTTGAAGCCAAAAACATTTACATTGTGGCCTTTTATAGAAAAAGTCCCACTTTAGAACACTGGGACTTAATCACTTCCTGAAACCTTGAGTTGGGAAAAGCTACCCATAGGTCCATTTATCACTTGTTATTCTATTATTTCTGCTGCATTTATTGACCAAATTCTATTCTT